ACTCAGTCTATTCTCTTTTGGAGTAAAAAAAATATCACTGATGGGGATGCTTGAGCTACCTTCTACCTGCGATTCAGGTTGGAAATAATAGAGTATGTGTACAGAGCATTAGCAACTTGGTTAATTTTGTTAGTGCAAGACTTACCTCAGTCACATCTCCCCAAGACAGAATTTTTCCCCAGAATGCTGACATGTTCAGCAAAAATTTTTGATCTTTGTGGACTGAGTATGTGATGCTGGAGTCCCAAATCAGACATTTTCAGCTTTTTGATAAGTATCTTTTTTAAAAACTCTGCCCACATTAACACTTGCCCTGCACTGTATGGTGATGCTATTCAATCCTTCAGCGTGAGCCAGAATTAAAGGCATATCTCTCCTCGTTCTCCATGTCCCCCATTCTTTGGTTCCCTTTTAACATTGTTTTGGGCTCACTGTATACTAAGGGGAGAATACAGCAGGACAGGTGTGACAATTTAGTAGGAAAAACACTCGGATTTTCAAATCCCCTTTCTTAGAAATAAGGTGCTTTCTGACTTATGAATGACCTTCATTATGACTGATGGTCCATACTGAATGATAGCCCATGAAAATAGATTGTTGTCATTAGTAATTCTGGACTGTAGTTCAGTGGCAGAGAAAGGTCTTGGAAACTACCATCTTACTGAGTCATAGAATCATTAAAGTTAGAACAGACCTCTAAGATCATCTAGTCCAATTGTCCACGTGCCACCAATATTGCCCAGTAAATCATGTCCCTAAGTATGACATCTGCTCTTTCCTTCAACACCTCCAGGGGAGTAAAGCTTAATCTGTTTGGAAGATCTTCCTCAAAATTCAGTCAAGATGGATGCTTATTAGCATAATATACCTAAAAGTTGCTGTATAATTTTCATCTCCTGCATTCTTTCAAAGTTCTGAAAAGTAAGGGCAAATTGCTACCAACTCAGATGGCATCTTTCACTTATTTTTTGCTGATGCATTTAACTTCCTCAGGTATATGGAGATGAGTTCCTATTCCTCCATAATAAAACTTCCACATTTTCCTCTCAAAGGTAAGCATAATGACTGTCTGGGAAATGGAAATCTCATGATTTACAAAGTAAGGTTCAAGAAAAGCAACAGATTTGGGTCTCCACTTCCCCATTCTGCCAGTGCTGGTCAGAACAGAGGCTACCTGCAAAGGGGCTCACAGGACTTGTTGACTCAGAAACAGGCTTCTGAATTTTCCTTACTTCATATTGCTTCTTTCACAACTGGACTGATAACTTCTATGAACCTGGCTGATGAGAGATGATTTTTTTCACATGAATCACTGAAATCTCTTCACCTGCTAACAACTCTGGATGTCTGCTGACTTCAAGCTGAGTCAGTAACTAAGAACAAAATGTTCTGGTTCCCCTCCCATAGGACCCTTGCATTCCTCTTTCCTTTGTGTAATGTGCAGTTAGGCATAGAAGTAAGTACTTTTACAATTAGTAGTACTGCACATCAAATGCCAATCAGAGCAGGTATATTTATTACTACATACAGTTGCTTTAAAAGGCAAATTACAGTTTGTGTAGTTCTCACTGACCTCAAAGCCACTGCTTGTTAGTAATGCATGTGTTTAATATGTGAAACAAGTTCAGTAGCATATAATTTGGATGACACGTAAATCTTGTTTTTATATGAGAACTAAAGTAATTCAAATGGTTCCTCTCACTGGAGCTTCTCATACACTATCTTGTCTATCCAGGAAAGCTAATCCTTAGGAGATTTACAGTGTTTAAGGTGGTTTCCAGGTTTTTATTGAACAGATCTGTGGAAAAAAAAAAAAAAAATAGTGGTCTCATTTGATCTTAAAAATATGCCTTAATTTTTACATTAGCATCAAGACAGGATTCAATGGAAAATTAACTACAGCTTTTGAGTCTAATACTCTATCCATGTAGGGAAAAATATTTTTGTCATTTGTGCAATTTAATCAGGAGTAGATTGGTATGCAATAAGATCTTTAGGATATGCCTATAGTTTCTTTTTTTCAGCTAGTCTGAAGCTCTCATGTCTGGGTTAAGTAAGGGTAAGACTGGAGTATAGATATGCTGTCACTTTAGCATCATTTATTTGAAACTATCTGCTGGACATGTTGGTAAATTAAAGAAAACAGAACTGCAGTGCCAAATGCCACATCTTAATCTGAGTGTCACTGGTCCTCACCATGTCCCTTCAGAAGTCTCCAGCTCCAGTTTTTCAGTTGTTTCAGTCCATGGCCTTTTCTCAAGAACAGCTGGGATTTATGTCACTTCCTTATGTGACCAATCCATTAGGAATCATATGAATGTAATCTTTATTTCTTTCTTTATTTTTTTTTTTTTTCTCAGTTGGACAGAAGTGAGACCTTCTCAAAATATTGAAGCTTGTTCTTTGAAACAAAAAGGTGGTGCAAGACGAATAGCAGAAGCCTTTGGTTCTACTCTGCCTTGTTTACCATAGAAATCAAATTCTGGGTCTCCATTGGAGAAAAACTGCTGTGTCAAAGAAAAAGATACAGTGGAACATACTAAAAACTCTTCCTACCAAAACTATTTTTTGTGAATTTAAAAAAACATGTCATTTTTTCAGCTATTCTGTCTTTAAATACCATAAATTTCATGCAGCTGTAGTCATAGCAATATTCAGAGCTCATCTTGTGCATTTTTCCCTTTGTCTCACGTAGTTTAAAAGCAAAGTGACTACAATTACTGCCATTTTACAGATGGAAGAGATGGAGCATGTAAGAAGCATGTGAGTAATGGCCTTTAATCCTGGATACCTGAAATTAAAATCAGCATGAAAAATGGCAGAATTATGTGTTCACAAGCCTCTAAGCTCTTCTTTTCTGCTTCTATCTACTAATACATCTTCCCTTCTACAATGCCATGCTCTTGGAAGGGAAGCAAAGGAGCTCAGTCTATGGGAGAAGCATAACCTTTCTCTGTCTTGGTGCGCCATGCCTTCTCTGTTTCTGAAGTGAGTCAGAACCTGGGGAGAAATGCTGAGCAGCCACCTAAAAATCATTTGCTTCTGCTGGTTATGCAGTATCTGGCAACTGCAATGGGTAGCTGGAAAGCTTTTTCTAATATCTCTTCTGCTTGTTTCCTGAGTATTTTTCCAAAGCAGCTTAGTTGTATGCAATAAACTCTCATTTCCTAATGCCAGTCACTGAAAGCGTATGCCAGGGGATCACTGTAAAGCCTTATTACTTTGTCCAGTCACATCGTCTGGAATTTCTTGAGAAGGACTGATGCAAAAAAATGACAGAGAAGAATTGTGTTTTTCATAAGGCGTGTGAAATAGAACAAAATGTGAGAACAGGCTTCCCAACTTTTTGGACAACTCCTTGCTCTTTGATATCGAGTTTTCACAAGACCACATTTAGTCTAGGCATTCTTACAAAGCTGAGGAACAGTCCACTTGTAACAAGGCCAGGTCAACCCGTTGTCTTGTTGCTATGAGTAATGTTAAAATTACTGGATGGATAAAAAGTGGCTCGATCCCTGGAGCTATGTACAACTGACTCTGAAGCTGATGTATTTTAACAGCTACTCTGCGCTGTGAAAGTGAGGTTAAAGTTGCAGAGGTACCTCCACGTGTACTCCTAATGTGCTTTCATTTGCTGTGCAGATGTGATTTTGACTGTGTCAGGCACTGAGAGACAGATCAGTGATGTGTCTTCTGCATCTGGCAGCACAAACTTTGGGGAAGAATTGTAACACCACAGTTCTTTCCAGAAATGAGACGCAAGCAACAAAGTCATGACTGCACAGACACTTCGGAGTGTAAAATGCAATTACTTTTGCCCTTTTAAGATGGAGATCTCTTGCCTTCTCACTTCTCTTGAACTATCTGTCTTTCTTCAAAGCCTGCAAAACTGAAAGCTTAAAACTTTGGGTAGACTTTTAGGAAAGGAAAAGAAAAAGAACTGACAAAGATGAAGTCTGTTTTCCGAGGAATCTAGAGATAACCCTGCTGGAAGGGCTCTTCTTTGTACTACAGTAATAGCTTTGTTTATGAAGAATGACTAGTGCAGTAGACATGGGGTCAGTGTTGAAGCTGGTGTTTCTTTTAGCTAATCTCCAGCTCTCCCACATGCCAAATTGACCTGTTTGGGATATGAAGCTCATTTATCTTTATGGGAGAATAAAGGACAGGACTGGGGAGGAATTTATCATCCTTTTAAAATACTCTATTTCCTGATAATGATGGCAGGGGCTAACACCAAATAAAGCAAATGCATTTTCCCACGATAAAGCCATTGGAACAGATTTCTTCCACAATTCTGAAATACAAATATCAAAATTAGAGTAGATTCTGAGTCAAAACTTCACTACATTTGAAGTGAAGGCAGAGGGGACTGACGAGTGGGTCAGGAATTTATGGCTCATATCAGTAACTTCTGTTTTGTTAAAATAAATCAGTAACAGATACTGATAAGATCATAGTTGATTGTTAGTGTAACTTTTGCAATTCATATTTGGCAATTCTTCACCTGCTGTTTTTTTTTTTTTTTTTAAGTTTGAATTTATCAAATACACCTTCTTTACTGGATGGATTCTCTTCACCTGAGCAGACTTTAGTGCTGAAAATGTTTGCCTTGTTGGAGATATTCTTCAGAATATCAGAACTTCAGAACTCTCAGTGCATATGCAAAGGCTTTGTTCTGCTACTTGTGAAATGGCTTCTGAATTATGCATGCTATTTTTCACCTCAGATTGTCTGGACCTTTCACCTCACAGTGTATGGACCTTAAAGAGACTTTTTAAGATCTCTGCCTGCATTTAAACACATTGTATGGTCTTGACTGGCATGGATGTCCCTCTTGATTTTCTTATAGCCTCTGTGCTAAAAATCTTGTCAGATTTGTTAATACTCATTTCAAATGACCATAGCTGGGACCTGGTGAAGCTAAACTCTTTTTGTTACCACTATTTATGCTAATACAAATCAAACTCTGACATTGTTCCTTTAAAATTTTCTTCCAGTACAGCTGAAAGACCTGAGGATTGAGCGCGAATGACCTCTTTGGGGTGGTAAGTGACTTTGCAAGCAGGAGTTTGGAAGTGCCTGGAAGGAGGAGAAGGCATCTGTGCCCTTTAAAAGAGCAAGACAAGAAAAGAAGGCTTTCAGACTCCTCTCCAGTTGCCTTGTTTAGTCATGGCTGGATTAGGATATTATAAACTCAAGGAATGGTGTATGTTGTGTTCTGAACTGGAAAGTTAGAAGCTCATGTAGTCACTGCTGGGCTTATGTTTCTAACTATATCAGAGTGACAGCAGATCATTTTTTTTAAGTCCATACCACTTCCCATGTTGTCCCTGCCCAGGGAGATGGTGGAGGCACTGACCCAAGAGGTGTTCAAGAAATGTTTGGACGTTGTGTTGGGGGACATGGTTTAGTGAGAACTATTGGTGATCGGTGGATGGTTGGACTGGGTGATCCCATGGGTCTTTTCCAACATTGGTGATTCCATGATTTTATGATTACTGCTGTAGCATGCTGGTAGTGGTCTACCAGATAGGTAGAAAGAAGAAAACTTTTATATCTGCATATATATAAAATAAAATAGAAAATTATGCAGGAAACAAAACAAATAACGGGTTATAAAAAAGAAAAAAAATTAGGAATAATGAAGAACATAAAATATTAGCAGAATTTTGAAAATTAGGAGTTGCATGGAGATAAAGGTTTGGAAGACAAAAGAACTGTACTGCACAGTGCCATTTTTACACACTATATACAAGCTAGTGCTATCTTGTATCAAAACAGCACTGTGAGTTAGAACAAAGCTAACTGAGAAATCCTAGAAGGCACTGGGAGAGAAGAAGACATTCAGAATTTTTTTTCATCTCTAAGTGGGGTAGTATCAGGACAACCACTAGACTCAAACTAGTGCTCATATTTAGAAACAATCTAAGTTCATTACTGAGAAAATGTGAAGATAACAGTGATCAGCAGACTGGTAAATTGAGAGGATGAGGCAACTGATGGAGTGATCATGATCTCATGATAAGCAAGGACATTCAAATGTGTTTTTGAATGAAAGCCTATAATCTGGGAACAAAGAAAGCTGGACACAACTGCAGAACACGGGCTTCGACTCTGGAGAGGTGCCTGAACAGACATTTCAGCAGTTGCTCTCTGCAGAAAGCTGCAACTAAGGCAAGGCTGGGTTGTACAGAAGAGCAGGACCAGGAAGATAGTTTCTCCCTTTGTAACAGCACTGCTGGGTGATGGTATTCAACAACAGAAACTGTTTTTCAAAAGGAAGAATGAGAAATTGGAGACAAAACAGAAGGAAAGCATAAATATGATTTGAAGGTTGAAGAATATTTCCCACAGGTGAAAATAGAAAAGTGCTAAAAGAAGGTCTGAGGTGATTTAATTACAGCACATAACAAATACAAAGAGGTACAGAAAAGGAAGGCAGCATGATGAAGGCTTAGCAGCTGATCTTGGACAACTCTGAAGAAGGAATAATCCTTTAATGAGATAGATAAAACTTCAGGACAAGATAGGAAGTGGTTTAGCTATCCTTTAGAGCCTTCAAATCAAACCCTAATGCCGATTTCTGTTGGCAGTTTCAAGAAAGAAATGTAATCACATGTGATATAATAGGAGGAACATTAAATAACCTAGTGCTCCCATTAGGAGCTAATGGAGTGGTATATCTAAACTCCCCCATGATTGCACAGTTCATGAGAACTTTTCAAATTTTAGAAAGTTGGTCCTGTGTATTATTTTCATGTTCACTGGAGTTGTAACATACATTGCAAACCATATCTTTTGTGATCCTAATTATGAAAGCAATCAGGAGAAACAACTTTAATGCAGTGTCTGAAAAATATTAAAAATTACTATGTGCTGAGTTATTTCATATGAATATAGTAATCACCACAATGATTACTGGAATTAGTGGTAATTAATAATCCTTGTGACATTGTAAGAGGACAGAAGAGATAATGAAAAAAATTATACTTCTTAGGATAGCAACACCAAGACAGTCACAATGAGGCCTATTAAGAGAACATCTTCTGGAACACAGCAGCTCTGGGACTTGACTCTGTGGCCACTGTAATGGTAAATGTATCCTGCTGTCTCATGACTATTTTGGAAAATGCTACAAAAATTCCATGCTTTTGGGGTGTTTTGTTGTGCATATACTAAGAACAGCTGAAGAAACAGATTAATAATTACAAACATGAACTAAAGCCTGAAAATTCCCCTATTTCCTTCAATTTAAACATGTTACCATGTACTGAGGAATTAAGAGGAACTCTCATATGTGTTAAATAAAACCTATGCAAGTCCTGAATCTTGTTTGTATATGTGTATATGTGGCTATATATGATGCAGCACACGTGCATAGTGATCTTCAAGCATAGATATAAATGTTCCGGCCAAAGTGGAAAAGATATTAAAACAAAGTCACATATGAAAGTGCAAAAAAACAAAACAAATAAAAAAAATCTTTTTCAGCATGGCACTGTGTTTATGAAACACAGAAATACATTCCTTGTACGTGGAATTTACCTGCTGTTATGGGTGGACATAAGATCTGTAAATGGCAAGGTGTGGTTTCCTTGCATTGTTTGGGGGAGTGTCTGTTTGGACAGATTTAAAACAGTGATCCAAAAGTTTGACAGTAGCAGCATGAAAACATGTTTTTCAAAAATGATAGGCATGTTTCTGCTATTCTGGTACATTCCATGCTTCTGATTCAAAGGAATACAAACAAACAAACCTTCATTAAGCTATTACATACCTGGGCAAAGTAAAATGCTTTCTAAGTTACTTGCATGCTAAGACAGTGGAATTTGTAAGAGGCTTTTTGAAGAAAAGGTCAATGCAGTAAATTTAGGGTTTATATATATTTGAGTGTTGCATCTTGTAAAGTGTGTTTCTATATGCCACAGGTAGGTAACTCTTGATAATGTTCTATGGCAGAAATATGGTTTCTCTATGAACATCTTTTTTCTTTTTTTCCCAGTTAGTATTCTGTACTAGAAATATTAAGTTCCAATTTAGCTTTATTGACTTTGGCAGCATTTGCAGAAAATCTACCAGATAACATCATTTGTATCCAAAACTTCTGAAGAACTTTTCTTATTGTCCTCAAGGACTTACAAAAGGGAATGTGGAGCTGGGCTCCCACTCAATGAAGCCACACGTGTTTTGCACGCGTATGAGGTATGGCTAAGTCAGAGGCCTAGAGGAGGTAAGGAAGGAAGCAGGGTATGTCTGGATGCAATACATAGCACTTGAAACAGACAAGCAGACAGCTTCCATGTTGTCAGTTTGGTTATAACCACCACTGTGACCATCCAGCCACAAGCTGCATGTATCTTCTACAGACTTAGAATCCAAAAGAAGTTTTGCTGTAATTGTGCCAGTGGTATTCATCTCTGTGGTTTTAACATGCTTCATGAATGTTGTTTGTAGGTAATGGTATCAGTCTGAACCTGGGAAAGATTCACCCCCTGATTAAAAAACAAAAACCAAAACAAACAAACAAAAAAAACCCCAAGAATACAGAATCTTTATCTATGGTTCAGAGAGTTTACAACTGAGTCCATGCCAATCCTCCTGTTGTGTGTGATGAAGAGAATTGTGTAGATGCAGTGCTGCTGTCTGGAAACCAAAAAATCTCTGAAGTTATGAAACACACACAACATACATTCACTTCAGGTAGTATTAGGCATTTAGATCCTTTTACAGACAGAATACAGAGATGATAGGATGTTGTTTGTAAGGACACTCAGGCATTGGTCTTCTCAGTGTTGCAATGCCTAATTGACTATTATTTTGTTTCAAAAATGGCTTGAGATTCTAAAGCTGAGGTTTAAAAGGAACTGAGGCACTTAAGTCAGAGTAATGTCTAATTCCTTCTTATTTATCCAATATCTTTCTAATGCAAGATGCAAAAATTGTCACAGACGTAAAGACTGAAATATAAATTTTCTTATTCATGGATCTGCTTTGAAGAATACCAATTCCATCTTCTTCCTTTGCTGTTTTTACATCAAAGAGTCTTGTATTTTTTGCTTTATGATTACAGAGCTTCTGTAGGGAGTTGGAAATGTTTTTGTCTTGGTGACAGAAGACATGGGGTTGCATCTTGTTAAGTGTAAAAAAACCCTAACTCTTGAAAATTGAGTCAAATAATGTATGATTGAGCAGACTCATGTCTCTAGAGACAACTCTAGATAGTTAAAGATAAATAAGTCAATCTCTACAAGCTTCAGGCTTACTGGATTTGCCTTGCATACATATACTTGGTAAGTGGGTAAAATGGTACCCAGTAAATAATGAATTCACTCTGAACCTCCAAAGTTTTAGGTGAATGCTGTTAAAATTTGACAATTTTCTCTTGATTTAAAACAGATTTTAATGTGCTTGAATATGCTGAAAAGAATTCATGGGCCCGTGTAAAGTTTCTAATGGTCAATAGTATTTGAAATATTAAAATGTAACTCCTCTCTTTTCATAAAATTTCCTAAGATTTGTTGAATAATGTTGCAAGCTGGAAAATCTACATAAGTGTTTCTGAATTCACTGTGTAATTAGTTAATTGAAACACTGTAGCGCTTAACATTTAATCCAATTCCCTCATCTCTTAAGATTTAATATCAAGATCTCTCTGATGGAAATAATTATTAAAACAATCCATCTTCACGCTGACCTGAAAAATCGTTGAGAGAACACTGTGATGGGTTTGTTCGGTTCTTATTTCTTCCTGATCATGTGGAATTTCTACAGCACCACTGCAAGAGTTTTGACATTTGAATGATTTCAGGTAACCGCAAAGATAAGAAAACTTCTCAAGATATAGGTTGTACTAATTCTATATTAAAACTGACAATTCAATTTCAAGCCCACTTACAACTGGTTAAATCACTGGTTACTGTCTTTGCTTTTTTCAAATCAAAGCTTCTTCAAACATATTTACTTATTAATTTTTTACAATGATGCAGAGAATATATAGAGAAACTTCAGATACCTTTCTGGTTGAGATCCATACATGATGCATAGATCAGATCCTGCTCCAAAGGGCTTTCAGTGACAGTAAATTAGACAAACTTGCCCAAGACTGCATAGAAACAGCTTTCCTTCCTCCTGTTCCATTGTTACTGCAACAGATCACACAGTATCCATTGCCTTGCAACTTACCATAGGAAAAAAAAAAAAGAAAAAGAAAAAGAAAAAAAAAAGAAAATGAAAAAAACCTTCCTCCTTTACTCATTTCTATGAAGAGTCTCTCAAGAAAATGAAACTATTAGTCCTGTTTCATAGCTGAAGACTGGACTAGATCAAATCACAGGGATCTGTTTAGGTTGTATACTGTCTGGCTTGTCACATCTTCTCTTTCCTTTGAGACAGACATACTTTGAAAGAGTATGTTAGGTTCCAGAATCTATGCCTTGCCTTGGCATCCTGTATTTGTGTGTGTACGTATGTGTGGGAAGGGAGATTACTTTATTAATTGTAAGAAAATATCCTTCAGGGATTATGCTAAATTATACTTTTTTTGCAACCCCTGAGAGAGGGCATTTCAGATGATATCCAGTGACGTGCCTAACATGGCTTTTGCTGGTCCAACATATCATCTATTCCTCTTTCAAATAAGGCTAATATTGTCACAAAAGTAGACCACATCAGTGTCACCGTAAACCTCCTCAATGAGGCAAGGCCAGTAGTTTGACTCTGTACTCCTCTCTGGACTAAAGTTTATAGAGAGTAATTAGAACTGCAAGGTGGTGTTGCTACATTGGCATTATGCTGTCTTCAGTTCAAGGAAAGGTACATTGTAATAGATTTTACCAACTTGAGTGTTGGACTTGCCTGATGTGCTGTTACTTCCTGTCTGTGTGTCAGCTCTGGCTCTCAGCAAGGTATTTCATTGCATGATGCTAACCTGTGGCAATAACTCCTCTGAGTGGCAATTATTCACCACGTTTATGTGACCCCTTTTTACATTCCTATTTGTTCTTCCCTGAGCTATCTTATTTAAAATATTGATGTTACAGCAACATAGTGGGTTTCCCTGGCTTGGAAATTGAAATTTTCAATCACTGAACAGCATGATAAGTTTCATTTTGCTTAAGCTGACTTGCCATTAAAAGTGTAATGAGGAACATCTTATTTCTCAGCAAAGATTGATTTGTCTCCTATATGTGGGTCAGCAAATTTATTATATATGAATATAATGTAACACCGTTGTGAGAATTTGAATGCCAGCCTTATATCAGCTGCTGAATAATCACTCTTTGCTTTATTTAGCATGGCATAGTTTGTTTGTCCTTTTCTGCACATAAAAGACTGAACTGGCTGTGCTTATTCCAGTTATGGGTACACAGGGACATTGGAAAGACAGAGAGGAGGTGGAAAACTTCAAGAGGTGCTCTGAAAGTAGAGATTCCTATTTTGTTACATCGGCCCATGGCGTCAGAGGTGGATGTTGGTGGTATGACAGTAGAGGCTGAACTTTGCCTACAACATTCCGTTACAAGTTGCTGCTGTGTGACATATGGCAGCAGAGGGGCAGTCTGACACAATGGCATCTGACATGGAAGTGTATACGAAGCAAATGTGTGTTATTGTATTCCTTCATGAAGAAAAAATGGCACCCATTTACATTCACTAGTGCTTGATGAGCATTAAAGGAAAACAAAGAGTGGATGTTAGCACATTGAGGTGGTGGGTGGTACATTTCAGCAGTGATGACAGAGATGTGAAAGACAAGCCATGTTCTGGATGGCCGTGCACAGCGAAATGAAAAGCATCCTGATCAGCTCATCCACACAAATTGGCAGATTTTGCAGGGGGATTGTGTACAGAGCTGAATATCAGCTTCAATGCATTGAAAATGATGGTGGCAATATTGGAATTTTGCAAAGTATGTTCCAGGTTGATCACATGAATTCTCACACAGGAACAGAAAAAACACTGTATGCAAGTTTGTCTAGACCTACTGAACCAAACAGAGCGGAAGTTGACAGTTTCCTGGTGTTACCACTATGAGCTGGACTCAAAATGGCAGTCTATGGAGTGGTGATGTGAATTCCCCGTCAAAGGAAATACCCAGGATGCAAATCTCAGCAAGTAAAGCGATGTGCACATTCTTTTGGGATAGGAAAGGGGTGATCCTTCTGGATTTCCTCAAACCCAAACAAACCATCAACTCTGACCACTATGTTGTGACACAGACTAAAGATGAAGGCTCTGACTTCCACAGTAAGCCAGAGAAGAAGACAATCTTTCTTTCAACACAGTAATGCCAGTACCCATACCAATTTG